GGGGGGGGGGGGGGGTTGTTGGGGGGTTTGGGGGTGGGGGGGGGGGGGGGTGGGGTTAACGATTGGCTGCTTCTGACACCAAAACAAGCAAAAACTTCCAGAACACAGCCACACAGCCCGGAAGACCCACACCAGCCATCTACATCTGATGTTGGACACCCAAGTACATTTTGATGTTCACAGGATTTTTGGTGACAGAATGGGACACAGAGACACAGAAAAGTGTAATCGACACTTCTCCAACCATATGACTGACAGATGTTATGTGTGTGTGCATTTCTCTCCCTCTCCCTCTTGGGTGGCCACTCGATTGGTGAAGACTGCTGCAAATCCATTTGATATTATATATCACATACTAAATTTAAACTAATACTGTAATTTACCTTTTATATATTTGAACTGCATTGGAAATGGAATATTCAGCCATATACTGCAACTCATATTCAGACTATCAATTTGGCCTAGTTCAGATTTTTGAATCTTGCATTAAGGAGAAAAGAAACTTTTGGGCACCAGCATTCAAAAAGGAAAGTGATAAATTGGAGCATGCTCAGGGAGGTTACGAAAATGGTGAAGTGGGTGGAAATGAAGCCCTACAAGGAATAGTTAAAGGATCTAGGTATGTTTAGCTTGCAGAAAGGGCAACTGAGGGGAGATATAACACCAGTCTTCAAATATCTGAAGACAATATATGTAGCAATATATGACAGAAGACAATATATGTAGCTCAGGGTTGCATTGTGGAGTCCTTGGGATTCTCTGAACTTGGTTGTTTTCTTGCCGATGTTTTGTTACCCATCTAGGTAATATCTTCAGTGTTAGAAGGGAGTGAGGTTTGCTCTCTGTTTATGTATAGTAGCTTGCCCTGTCAGTGTTGGTTGGGGTGTGGTTTTCTCCTTGGTACTTCCTTGATTAGGGTTTGTTTACTGCTTGATTGCTTGTCTGGTGTTGATCCTGGTGTTAATCCCTGTTTATCTGGGTGTTGATTGCTGATGAGGAGGTGTTCTGGTCTTTTTGTTTCCTTTTTATTGTCTCTTTTGAATAGTGTGTTGTTTATCTCTATGTGCCTGTTGATGGCTGACTTGTCCAAATACCAAACTTCCAGGAATTCCCTCATGTTTTTGGATTTAGCTTGATCTAAGATGCTAACAGTTTCCCAGTTGAAACTATGGTTAAGTCTGTCCATGTGTTGTGAGATTAAGAAGTTTTCATCATGTCTTCTGACTGCTACTTGGTGTTGATGCATGTATTCTGCTAGTCTTTTGCCTGTCTGTCCTGTCTGTCAAAAATGCAAGGGATTCCTGGAAGCTTGGTATTCAGACAAGTCAGCCATCAACAGGCACATAGAGATAAACAACATCTACACACTATTCAAAAGGAAACAAAAAGATCAGAACACCTAATCGGCAATCAACACTCAGATAAGCTGGGATTAAGCAGGAATTAACACAACACCAGGATCAACACCAGACAGACAAGCAGTAAACAACAGGAGAAAACCACACCCCCACCAACACTGACAGGGCAAGCTACTGCACATAAACAGAGCAAACCCATTCCCTTCTAGCACTGAAGATGTTACCTACCTGGGTAATGAAATGTCTGCAAGAAAACAGCCTAGCTCAGAGAACCCCAAGGACTCCATAGTATCTGAAGGGTTATCCCACAGAAAGAGAAATAGACTTATTTCTTACTGGTCCAGAGGTCAGGACTAGAATCAGTGAATTAAAAGTACAAGGAAGCAGGTTCAATCTGACAGGCTATTGCTTGTGACATTGAGTCCTCCTTCACTAGAGGACTTAAAACAGAGGCTAGCTCAGTGTTTCTCAACCTTGACAACTTTAATATTGGTGGACTTCAACTCCCAGCATTCCCCAGCCAGTACGACTTAAAAAGTGCCCACTGACTTAGCAAAACTGCTTGAAGAAAGAACACTTGAGTTCTAAGGTTAGGCTGAAGATTACTATTATGAAGACATGCCATTTATTTCTGTTATTTTATCCTAGCTCTTCAGCGTACAAATTTATGATGTTTTTTAAATCATTCTATATTGCTCCAGTTTGTGGCTTTTACTAAGCTTGTCTCATTCTGAATTCAGGATGGTTCATTTCCAGGAACTTCTGCAATCAAATCCTTTGAGCATATGTACCCATTTGTGTGCTTGAATATGTAATTATGAAAGAAAAGGAAAAGTGGATTAAGTGAAAGGCTGACCTAGAAATATATATCTGTCTCCCTGGGTTCACACAACTCACTAAAATGAGATGTGCTTTGTTTTACCTTATCATACGGTATGAATCTAGCTCCTCTGGTTTGTAAATCATGGCCTGGAAGTGTATGACCTGGGCCATCCCACACACACACCTATCCACACCCACCTCTTTGAGAAAACATTACATGTAGACCTAGTTTATGTTCCCATCTATCCATTTGCAAAGAAAACATTTAAACAAAGAACTTGGGAAAACTATAAACTCCTCCTCCTCCATGTTGTCTCCTTTCATGACTACTAGCTCTTTAAAGACTACTCAGTTTAAGTGCAAAAACAGGAAATCCTGCACTACCTCTTTGAAGGTGTGCTTTCCCCCTTAAATAGCAGCTGTAGTAAGTGCTTTAAGTAAGTATCAGATTTAAGAGACAAAATCCGGACAATTATGCATTGGCAGAAAAGAGATTCAGAAAGGTGTTATAGAATTCAGATATACTGTATGTAGCCCAGGTATGGTGGCCCTAGTTCTAAGAAAAGAATCACAAGTCTGTCTGTCTGTCTATCTAACATTCAGTTGACAAAGGGTCTCAATGTACTATGTACAGTAGATGCATTGTTTCATAATGATGCCAGAATGATAAAAAATAAGCTACAGCTCTTAAAACTGTATAGAAAGTTTTAATAAAATAAAAAATAATAGCATTTTTTTCATTCCTGCCAACTCAAAAATCCTTTAAAATTTTCTAAATAAATAAATATTTTGAGAGAAAGATTTTAATAAAGAATAACAGAGCTGATTCTTATCCAGGGGTCACCATCTTTTTTACTAGTGTTACACATAAAAAAGAGCAGGGCTTCAAACATGCAGTCACAGCCGCCATCTTGATTTTTTTGACTCTCCCACCCCCAACTGACACACCTGTTTTTATCCTTCTTTCTTCTGCATTAAGTGCAGGACAAAAATAGGGAACTTGCAGCCTTCCAGATATTGTTAAACTACTACTCCCAGCAGCTTCATCTAGAATGGTTAATTGAGAGAGATGTTGGGAGTTGTAGTTCATCAACCCCTGGAACACCAGAAGTTCTGCACTTCTCCAGGTGTTATAAATTATATAAACATAATTTATATGTTGTTTATTACTGTAGATGCTATTATTTCTTTATTTCAATTATTTCTGTAGCTGCCCATCTTATAACCACTAGTTGTCATCAAAGTAATATGGAAAACTAATTCCTTGCTGGCATCTAGTGGTTGTTCAGATTTTTGTAGCCCCAATATAAGTACTTTCTCCCTCTTAAGTGGAGAAACTGCAGTGCAGGTTTCATCAAGAACAACTTCTGTCCAGATTTGTTCAAGTGTAAGTGAAACCTGTCTTTTGCTGGACAAAGCTGTGAGTTGGACTGAAGAACATGAGTGATGAAAATATTTTTCCAAAATGGTATTGTTCCCAGTTCTCTCGATTACCTTAGTAACACCATCTCCCTGTCACATAATTCAGTATTTTATATGGCACACTCCTTCCTTCAGGCTATTAGCTGTTCCAATTTACATTCTGCACCCAAGAAAGCCCTGCCATACTCCAGATCACCTATAAGGACTTTTGAGAACAATTCTATGAACAGCTTCTGTCAAAAATATAGTTGTCACTTTCTGTAGCATTCAAATTTCATTTGCCTCCAGACTCAATGCTTACTAAATCCTGAACACTCGCATACCTACTGCTAATGAAATAATTCGTATAAAGTCAAGGAAAGACAACATCATGGTCTCCTCCTACTTTGTATTACACCTCCCACAATTCCTTACTACTGATTATGCAAGCAGGGTCTGATAGGACTTGAAGCTGAAAAGATTAGCAAAGTTTTCTCATTCTAAAGATGAGAAGCTGGACGGGGTGCCTCTACATCCATTAACCATAGGCAATACTGTATGATGGTACTGGTTTTTCAGCTTAAATGTAATTTAGTCTACTAACTAGAAGAACTCTTACGACACTGTCTAGATATATTGTGTCCACCACTCCAAGAATTTTGGGAATAATGGTCCCATACATTTGAAGGGCACTGTATTGAGGAACTAGAAACAGAGAAACAAATATTCTGTAATTGCTAAAACTCTCAGA